CTTATGACTGTTCTAGCTTGACTAAACAGATTTTTCTATCTTTTTTTTTTTTTCCAGATCCTACCTTCCTGGGATCTTTTCTGTATCTTTGGATCTTTGATGCCAATCACTACCTGATCCCTTAAAATGGAATCTCTGAAAAAGTCATAGCTACTTGACTGATCCGTTATTTTAAGACCAGTTAAAAATTCTTCAAAGGATTCCTCCTTCTGCATTCTCATATGAAACCTGTGTCTTTCAAAAGTTCAAGTTTCCTTGGGAGTGCAATATTCCTTCAACTTACTTTCTGTAGCTGCATGGATTGCCCTCTTACCCTGGCTTGGTTTCATGCTATTAAGAACTTTGATAGCTCCTACTCCTGTAATATTCCAGAAAATAGTTGTGAGCTTCTTTATGATTAATCTAGCCACTGTATATAGGTTTCAAAGCATGATGTGAATCTTTTCAAGGAAACTGCAATATTACCAGTGTGTTTTAGAGTCTCTAAAAGCCCCTAAAGAGCGATCGCATTTTCTCTCACTTTCAAATCTCTTTTTTCTAGTTAATTCCTTCCTCTTTTTCACATTCTGCTCCTGTTACCATGTGGTACTTGGTTTACACTCAAAGCAAGACTTGTATTGGAAAGAGCATAGAAATATGCTGCAGAGGGTGCACATCAGTCAGAGTGCACTTGCATTGCACTCAAGCTGGCTTTACTGTCTTGAATCTCCACGTATCTAATTACTGGCTAACCAGCTCAGACTCCTTCAACCTCATCTTAGATATGAGACCCTAGAGATCCAACATCTGCTAATTACATCTCTGAGTTTTAACTTTTATTGTGTTCAGAAGCCTACAGACTTCCCAGCAGAGAAGCAAATCTAAAATCTCCTGACAGAGGGTTTGCTTTTTTTGAGTTACTGTAATGTGCCGCAGTTTAAAAACCACAGCTTTACAGTGATCGCAAAGGGGCAATGGTGGAGGAGGATGGGTGCTGAGGCCCAGTAAGAGACCAAGAGAGTCACACCTAAGAAGCAAGATACAGCAGCCTAAAAGCCAAAAACAGCTGACCACTCTAAGGGCAGTTTGTGATTTCAGTGAAAGATTGATCTCCTCCAGCCCTGGAAGACTATTTAGCACTGCTCCTTCCATCTTGCAAGGGTGTGCTTTGAAGGTGTGATATGGTCCACATTGTACCCTCATTGCAGAAAGTTTCTGGAACCCTTTTCAACTGTGTGTTACTTTCAGTGGCACTCTTCATCACCACTATCATCTTCCACTTAAATCTTCCCAATGAAAGTAAAGGCTGAAGTAACATCAAAACAGTTTTTGAGAGTCATATTTTTGGAAAATTGAGGCATTCGACATTTTTGGACTGATAAAAGGTTTCCGAGTGGTAATTGTTCCACTTACAGCAGTAAACAGGTGTGTGGAGAAAATGAGGATTAAAACCATAGATCAAGCTACATTGCCAAAAAATAATATTTTCTTGCAAATGTTTTGTATTTTTCTTGAAGAGCTGGAGAGCTACTGTTCAATGTCTGTTTCTAATTTGGGCGATTTGTTCCTGTGAGTTACAACAAAAGCAAAAGGGAAAAAAAAAAAGTGCACAGCAGTATGTTTTGAATTGTAAGATGTCCAGAGCTTTTGTCTGCCTCACAGTGTGTAATCACAGGGCACTGAAACTGCTCCAGAGCTGTTAGGGTGAGGTTCACAGCCCTTGCAGAAAGCCAGAAGAAAGGGCACAGGCTGGATGCAGCTACTGTGCAAACAGAAATGAGAGGGCTTAAGCAAGATCACAGAAGGGGGAGTGGGTACTGCTCTCAGTGCTGCTGAAGTGGGTCCTATAACCAGCAAATACACACCTCAGGCAAATACCTTCTCCCAGTCCAAATTTGACAGGAGAAAGGGATCAGTTTTCTAACTCATTGAGAGTGAAGTGGGGGCTGAGACCCACGTGGATCACCAGGGTTAGGTTTTTGCAGCCACTGCATCCGTTTTCCTGACCAAGAGCAGATCTCCTTACGCTGACCTTTATGGCGGAAGGGCACGGTGCCCACCTGTGCTACCTGTATCTGAGCTGTCTTAGGTGGTCCTGGAGCAGAAGGCTGACACTTGGCTGGATTGCTGCCTTCACAGCTACCGCGCGGATGGATTTCATCTGTCAGACAACAACTCTGGCTTAAGAGACATTTAGGGCTTTCCAGGGCCTTACATGAAATCTGAGGAGTTCAGAGGCCTGGATTCAACTCCTCTTCCACTTCCAGCTTTCCAAGAGAGAAAACCAGACAGGAACTGCTACCACAGGACTGCTCCCACCGGCCAGGAGGTGGGTGAGGAAGTGTGGGAGATGAGAAGAGAACACTCTGAGGAACTGAAAGGTGGCAATAATCGATAACAAGACATATTTCTGCAGACCACGAGCGATTAAGCTGTGAGGTCATTCCCAAAGGAAGCTGCAGATGCCAGAAATTTCAAAAGATTACAAACAGAACTGGATGTCTTACATATATAAATCAAGAAAAGCCAGAATCTAATAAACAATTAGAACATAATTTTTTGAAAAGGATATACAAGTCCCATCTGCAGGCTTCATCATTGCCCAGGATGAGACAGCCCCAGTGCAGGGGGCAGGATATTCAATGTCCATCTATTCGAAGGCTGCTCCACCTCAACCAGAAACATCTGGCTCTGGTTGCTAGCAGGTAACTGAATACAGTTATACTTGACCCAGTCTGCCAATTTCTGTTCTCCTCCGACGTATAGTTAAGCGATCGCTATGCAGTTGTATGTATGTATTTGTGTGTTGTTGCCATATACATAGTTGTTGTTAGGGTACGTTCTCAAAAGTAAATAATTCTAAATGATGTGGACCTGCCAGCGTGTCACATCATGACTGTTTTATTTTTACCCAGCATGTCTTCCCCCTTGATTTAATTACTCTCCAGCTGCTTCAGGATGAGTATTTGCATCTCTGAGCCACGCTGCATAATTTCTGCTTGCAGCACAGCATCTTCCCTACTTGCAGAGCTGCTTCTTATTTATAGCATTGGAGGCAGGGCCGCCTTGCACTTGGCATTGCACTAACAGGAAAGAAATAGAAGGTTCCTGACCAAAACAGCTCTTCATCCAAGTGCAAGACTAGAGACAACTGTTTGGTACAACAAAATGGAGTGGAAGAGCCCACTATGAGACAGTTAGGGCCCAAGTTTCACATCAGACAGTTACAAATACAGTAATAAGCAATGCCTACAACACAGCAGCTGCCTAACCATCTCTGTTGTATATTATGCAATTTTTTACAGGTGGAATGCTCATTGATACCTGTGGGTGTCATAAGTGCAGTTTATGCCAGAGAGCTGCAATGCAGGTGGGAGAGTTGTGACACTGAAAAGAAAGGACAGTTTTGCCCTTGATTCCTTCAGCCTATTTGGGATACTGAAAAGCAGAATTTAAAAAAGCAGGGCAAGAAGGCAAAAGCCTTAGCTTACAGGCTTCTCTCTGTGTTTTGTGGGGTTTTTTTTGTCTAATGATTTCCCAAGCTGCCTCTTTATCTGCCAGATAAGGCTGCTCTTCTTTGTTTATGAGTGTATCAGCTTTACCAACAATGTAATGGGGAATTATCATTCTTATCAATAATAATTTATTAGTTCCTACAATGTCCAGACACCTTCTGGGCACAAAAGAAAGCAAATCTGTGCTCTTGGGGGTATATTTTTACATGTTATTTGCTCCTGAGGGTTTATAGTCCTAAAAAAACAAAACAAACCAAACCACAACCCCCCCCCCAACAGTTCAGGAGAAGAGAGAAAAGCAGAAAACATGTTAAGCATCCAGGTGGTGTCTATCCACAACCTGGAAATATAAAGTTTTAACATCACTGTACTGGGGCAGAGGGTTCTCCTGCTGCCTCAGTCTGCTGGCAGGTGCAGGAATCCTACAGCAGCAGCAGGCTAATCACTGCTGACTCACTAGGGCAAGCATGGATCATTAGACTCCACTCTGAGTAGGATATAATTTTGTCATTTGTTTGTCAAATGCTCTTCTCAGGAGCAATGACCTATTAACTCTGTGAGTGTTGATTTTGTTTGAGGCAGAGACTCCTCTTGCTTGGAGACAAGATGCTTATTTCTGTCATATGGAGTCAGGGTCCATCCTTGTCGAGGCTGTTTTTTGCCGTATCTACAAAGCCATTTACTAATAATTTAACTAGCTCCTAGAGGGATGTGAAACCAACTGTGACTGCTACTTGGCCCTCATCCAAGGGACAGGGCAGAATATGGGACCAGAGTGTCCTACATGCCCAGCCATTCCAACTGCAAGAAAAGCCCCTGTTGAGTGTAATCAGGTAGGTCTAAGTCTACGTTGCCCAAAGCAGTCTGAGAAGAAAAGACCTGCAGGGTGACAAAAACTGCACTTGCTCTTCTCCCTCAATCTGAGCTGATGGCAGCATTAGGACTGGAACCACAAGCTGAGATGATACCAATAAACAGGCCAGGGAGTGCTCCGGGCACAGGGGCCAGCCAGCACATCTCTGCTAGTGAACCTTCTTAGCCACCAAAAGGGAGCAGCTGCCTGCAAACTGCCTCTTAGGAACAGTCCTTGAAGCATTCTTGCTCCCAAACGGTGCTGGGAGTGATCAGGCAAAACAGTAGCTGACACAGGCCAAAGCATGATGAGGACTGTTTTGGCAGTCTAGGCAGCACAGATGACTGAGTCTGCGAATGTCTCTGGACATTCCGATTTGTCGGTATAGATGCTGCCATAAAGTCTGTAAAATAAGTAATATAAGCCATGGAGAATATCTACTAAAAAAGTCTCACAGTGCACACTGAGCTAGGCTTATCTCCAGCAACTCAAGGGAATATCACTATGGATGAGCTTGGTCCAGCACCTTCTGAGACTCCTTTTCAGAGTCTTTTTTTTTTTTTGTAAAATTACTTTTGTATTGTACACAGTGTCATCTTAACAAACTAAACACAATCATAGGAAGTTATATGCTAAACTCATAAATAACTTACTTGATCTGCTTTTTAATTTCTCTTACATGCAGAGCTTTAGTTTGCTGTTTCTGCTGCTCTTCCAGCTTTGAATGCTTCTTTTGTTGATTGTTATAATGTGCTTGTAAATGTGCATAGCTGTCTTCTGTGATGTGTCTGCTGAGCCCTGTGTCAGCAGGTGCAGGCTCTATCCCCAGTTTCTGTAAAAATTCTTGGTGAGTAAGATATCCTTTTGCATCTGTATCATACCTTGAAAAAGAAATGCTCTTTTTAAATATTCATGTGTTCTTCATAGAAAGGCATTACAGATGTCCTTAAGTGACTTAACAGCTTAAATCTCAGTGACTTCCCTTCCTCATAGAGGTGCCATATCACACTGAGAATGAGTGACTTTATGAGAAATGCGAAAGATAGGAGCTTATGCATTGTAATCACAGAGTCGATTCTGAAAATACTACCCTGAGGACCAAACTGTCAGGAGTATTCTCCAGCTCTCAGTACTGCTGCCTTCCAGTGTCTGGCTTGAGATGCAGAGAACTGGGCTCCTAAAAATTCAGTCTCAAGTGTCTCAAACTGGTCACACAAATCTGAGATGCTCAGAATTGTAATCATCCTCCAGAAACATAGGTCTAGCTTCATAAACACTTCTCATATTTTCTTAGGTATAAACCATTCCACAGGATTTTTCCCCTGCAGTTTCTCCCCCTGCTAGTGCTCCGGTGCATGGTAATGCCTAATTTAGCCTCAGCTTCACTCTAATTCCTTTATTCAAGTTACAGACATATCAGGCACGTAAGAGATTTTAGCTATTCTCTAAAAGGAGTGGCTGATGGGAGTGAAATTGTGCAGCAGATAACTGTAAGAAAAGGATACTCTTCAATGTGCCATGGCATCCATAAGGAATAAGAATGAAAAGTAAAATCTAATGGAGTAGAAAATAATTCAGAGATGAATCAGTGCTAAGAAGAAACTATATAGTTAATGCAGTTTGAAACCAAAATGCAATACACTCAGGTTCTATATGTTAGGGAGAGTGATTATTTTTTTAAATAGACCTGTAATGAAGGTAGCTTTTTATATAATGGCACATACAGCTGACATCTATGCCATTTCAAACACAGTTTATAGCACAACTCCTCTTTGTTGAAGGCAGACAAGTATTTTCTCCCACTTCACAACAAATTACTTGCCTATAAAAACATTTCATGATATTACTTGCCATCTTTACACAGCATGAAATTACCTTACTTTCTTTTGTTATGTGTTCGGTATATAGCATTTTTCTTTTGGCTGAATCACTTTTATTTAGGTTGAAAATATTGTAAGTAAATTTAGTGCCCTGGAAAGGAGAGGCTGGTAGCACTGCCTTCAGACGGGTATGCAATACAGACCCTGCACGGAGCTCCTCGATGGAAGCTTTGTCTGCAGATCCCAGCTGACCCAAGACACTTGGAACTGACTTTCCCCCATCACAAACTAAGGTAGGTGTTTGTGTGTATAAACAAAATTGATGAGAACCAAGTTAATTTATCCAGTGACCTAAGGTGCCATCCAAGAAGAAAACGCATATTAAATTAAAGGGATTAGTAATACTGAAGATAAGAGAAAATCCTATTGGAAACTGATGGATCTAATTGTATTCTTGAGCTCAGTATGATAAGATATAGCCTCCTGTAACACACTGTCATGATCTGAGGTCACAATCATAACAAAATAAAAGATTTCTTGTGCAGTGTAATCTATTGTCATTCGCTGCACTACCAAAGGCTCTGTAATCCTATAAAAGATACATTATTGAAAGAGCTAATCATTTAGAGTTGTCATACCTTGCCCAAAGCTGCTTAAATTCTTCTGGGGTGATTGGAATGCCAAATCTGAACAAGACTTTCTTCAAGTCCCTTGGCTGTATAATGCCATTTCCTTCACTGTCAAATTCCTGAAAATTCTCGAATGTAAAATAAATCATCACTAACAAGAACCAACAAGTTTGACAAAATGTTTGATCTCTGTATAAGCTTAATGAATAATGGGAATTGAGAAAGAAACGGAAAATCATGCACGTCTGTATTTCATCTTTTAATGTTTTTTCATTTGATTTTTACTGTTTCCTACTTTCCGTTATGGATGTGCAACTCTCAAAAGCTTGAATTGGGACTGACAACACAGGTGTTTAGGTGATGTACTCTGTGTGGAAAGTTTCTTACTGATGGCAAACAGAGGGGATATGAGCATGAGAGGTGTGCATATAGCTGTGGGCATGCCCACTGCTGCAGCATGCCAGTGGAAGATGAGGGCACTGGAAAATGGCAGACCTGCAGATTTTCTCCCCAACTTGTTCTATACCTAAGATGAACTGGATTTTGCTTTGGATTTTGGTTGGTTGGTTGGGTTTGTTGGGTTTTTTACCATTCATCTTGCAAACTGAGACTACCAGCGCTATTGTCTAATTTACACAAACATTTAATGAAAAAATTACATTAATTTTTCCTCGTACTACTCTGTTGTCCAAATATTGCAACTATTCAACAAGTTAAAAAAGATAAAGAGGTAGAAGTAATTTTTATAGGACGATTTTGTGAGAGTCTCTGGATGGCGTAAGCACCGCAGTCAGTGCTTCGCTGTGCTGGGCAACACTGGGTATCAGCATAGGAGTAGGTGTGTGTTTGTGCACAGCACGTAGTCAAACAGGCCTCAGATGAAGCCCATTATTACTCTTACAACAGAAATATTAAATAAAACCAACAATAATAAAATATGAAGAACGTTTTAGAAATAACTGTAATAGCATCTGCTACATAATCAACATTACAGAAATTGAATATTATTCAAACTGTTGATTTTTTTTAATCACATCGTTTTTATCATTAATGAGCTATTTTGCAAGGGTCTCTTTGAATATTTATAGAATCTGAAGATCAACATTGTATAATGTTCTGAAATCTATTAGTGCTGCTTATTTATTTAAAGAAAACATTCTTCTTACCCTTGCTAGGTCATGCCATCTGGTTCTTGCTTTGATAACAAGGTAGTAATGAGTGTGATCACAAGCTACCTCTGCATCCGTTATCATCTGTTTTTTTCTCAGAAAAGAAAAAAAAATAAAATAACAAATAACTATGTTTTACGTTAGTGGGCTCTTTAATCTCCACAAGTTTCCTTCCCTTTTGTTGTTCTTCACAGTAGTGGTGGGTTTGTTTCCTAGTTTCTAAGATACCCATTAAAGATTGTTACTTCACATCTGTGTAAACTTAATTCTTTAAATACTGCGTTATTTCCCTAGCTGCAGGTTAGCGAAGATGTTTTAAATTTTGTAATTCCCTATTTATTTTCAAATCAGTGTTGTTCAATTCTCCCTCAAATTCAAGAGCCAGCATGGATCTTTTATACGCATAGAAGGAAGTGTTAATTATCCCAGAAACAATTATATCCTGGAGTGACTCCAGGAAGATTATCCTTGATTTACCTCAGTAACGTAGATCAAAACTATCTTTGTGAGTCACCAAGGCATGGGTAGTAAGTCTGGGGAGTAAGACCCACATTTGCAAATTCAGCCACCATTACAGTAGCCTAACTTTTGGGGGCCTGGTGCTTCTGGCTAAATCCAAGCATGCAGAGGAATATGGATGCCTCAGATTAGGATCCAGCATAGCTGTCATATGACACAGAAAGCTGACTAAATCTGTGTGCTACGCAAGGACACACCTACCTGAGAATCAAGGGGACCTTACCTCTCACCATTCTTCTCGCCTGAGAAGAGCAGCCCTTCTTTTGGTGCCCAGTTCTCTTTATCTTTTCTAAGCCCTTCCAGTTCGAAAACTGAGGAAAGGCCGGTCATTTCTCTTAACACACATGCTACATCCTAGCACCGGTTTCTCCTCCGGCTATTGCTTTGTAAGGAGATGCTGCAGACATATGTCTTCAGAGCCTGCTTCACCTACGCTCCAGGAATACCCTCCCTGGACCAAGATTCTCAAACAAGAGGCAGAGGAATATTGGCTCTGCAGACCAGGCGAGATGTGGTAACTACGTCTGACCTACCCACTGAGTTCCTGTACCACCCATGGCACGTGCAGACCAAAACTTAGGTCCTGGAGAACTGCAACGCTGCGAATTCAGCCATTTCTGCTCTCCCGGGGCTCTGGGCCTTGACAGCCTTTGCTGATGCTCCGTTTGGATTTAGAAACATGAATGCCACATTAATCTGGTTTAGGTGCCTGGGAACCTTCTGAGTTTTCCCCACTCCCACTGCTTGAGAGACGATTCCATAAGCCTAAACAATTGACCAACAAAAATAGCCTAAAAACTTAGCCGGGAAAATGCAAGTGCTCTTAAGGCTTTCAATCACTGTATTTTCTTTGCTGGAATTCTGAAACAGTAATAGTATTTGAAACGAGGAAATTCTGGGGCTAAATTAAAAATGTTTCAATATCTAGCTAAGTCCAAACTGAAACAGAAGTGAGAGCGCAACAGTAATTGGTCTCCGGCTCCAACTGCTAGCAAGATTCAATCATCATCAGTTTCCTTTCTTGTTTTAGACTGATGTCCTTGATTCACTCAGTTGTCCAATTCAGGAAAAAAGAAAAACAAACCGAGCAGATAAATATTACTAACATCAGAGCCAACAGTAATGCTGTAAGAGACAAATAAAAACTGGGAAATAAGCCTATGTGTATATATCACATCTTCACTGCCACAGCGGAGATGAGTTACTGATCAGGAGCTTTTTCAGTCCTGCTGTATCTTGTCATTATTTTTACAAATTTATCTCTGTTTGCATAGTTAAACGGAGTTTCACACTGAGTTTTTAGAACAAATTTTTTAGTGCCTGGATGCTATTTATCATTAAAGTTAAGCTAAACTTTACAATTCCAGATGTTTTAAGCAGCATCACTTCTCACAGGAAGGGAGGCTGAAGCACTCTTCTCCCTGTCCTCCACCCACTCCACAGTGCCTCAGTGCTTCTGTGCACCTCACCTGGTCTACTCTCAGTGCCCTGGCAGCATAATGGTCTGGAGCATGAGGCTTCAGGCTACTGGAATGTACACTGACAGCAATATTAGTCTCAGAACTGACAGACACTGTGCCAGACAGGTAACACCCTGGCTGCTCCTCAACCCAAAATGACATCTGATTCCTGAACCACGTCCCCAGTTCTGCATGCTTGGAAGATGCAGCAAAGTTGACCAGTTTGGAGGCTAGCTCAGCTCTAAGGCTCCAACCCAGGCACCAGTATATATGTTTGACCTTACAGATTTAAGCAGTCCCCAGGGTAGTTCTGCCATTTTAACCTAGTGGTGGATTCAATGTCTGATTTAATGGAGTCATAAATTACTGAGAACTTGGTAAAGCTACCTAACTTCAGCTTGATAAAGACGTATTTTAATACTATCTTTTTTTTCAATTATACCCAATACAAATTTTCACACAGCATATTCATTTCTGTAAACACGTCAGATTACTGTAGGTACTACATGACTTTTTTTTTCTTACTTGTGAGATGGCACGAGCCTAGGAGGTACCTCCTTAGATTCTTGGGTGTGGAACAGTTGACAGAATTCTTGGTAATTTAACATGGAGTTCAGGTTCATTCCCAACAAACCAAGTAGGTGCAGGAATTCCTCATCTCTAAGATGAAACAGAAATCTCTCCAAGAATTGCCGAAAGTCAAGCATGTTGATGATACCGTCATGGTTACTGTCTGTTTCACGGAAGGCAGAATAGGTGTCCTAACAAGGAATATTTAACTAAATATATTTAACACATCAACTACATGTTTTTAAACATAAATAACAAATGTTTGCTCTAGACTTGTTTTGACAACAGGCTAATATTTTAACACAGTTTGAGAATACAAAGCATTTATACTGCTGCCTTACTAAACGCTTAGGATAGTCCGCAGTAAACTGCAGTCTTATTGCTTTCATCTCAAGCATGTACAGAACTGAGCAAAAATAGGGAGCATCAAAACGCCACCCCCTTACAAATTTACAAATTAACCTCCACTTTCCATCAGTACTATACTGAGAGGTACCTCATTTCTACCCTTGCACACCCTTAGAAAACCTGTAATGAAAAGAGACTTTACAGCAATTGATCTACCAGCTGAACAGCTTCTCCCGTTAAAATAGAGGCAAAATGTTCAAACTCCTTTAAAATGGTGCAGTTCTTCACAAATCTGAAGTAACGCTGATCAATACAATCAGCTTTGCTAGGGGTGTCCAAGCTGGTTTGAACAGAAGATCCCTTTTCTGAACACTGATCTTTCCACTTAGAATCATAGAATCATAGAATCGTCAAGGTTGGAAAAGACCCTTAAGATCATTGAGTCCAACCGTCAACCTATCACTGCCAAGTCCCTCTATACCATGTCTTCAAGCACCGTAT